GGTGTTTGTTTCGAATTTCGATTCAGATGAATAGATTTTCTTGTGACTTACTACTATTTTAATGCTCGTGATAATCTTTTCTTTTTAAAGATTCATAAGCTTTTGTTTCAATTTCTTGAAAACCAGAAAGAACTTTATCTTTGGGCATAAGTACCAAAGCCATAAGCTTTCGACATAAAATCCTAAAATCGTCATTTGATGCATAGTTAGCTTGCATTCCAAGCTGCTGGATTTGTCGAAATATTGCCTGAGTAAAGTGAAAAAAACAGGCATGATGCTGAGCAAAAGGAAACTACAAACAAAAAGACCAGAATTAGTTTACTTTTGGTTAACTGCTTACTTCCGATTTGATTACAGGTAGAATGCCTGTTTCGAAATCAGACATGATTGTTTGAGGTGCAAATATTTTATTTCGTTTCGTTGCAATTTCTTTAAGTTCAGTGAAGATATGCCGATAGGTTGCACCCTTTTTATTCACAAGTAAACAGAAAACACAAGGCACACCTAAATGGGGAAAATGTTTTTCTTTAAATATATGTAAACCATTGCTTACAAATATCAAATAGAACAGCGTGTAAAATGTAAATTTGCTTGAAATGTTTCGGAGATTTTGAGAAAGTGCCGTCCATGTACACAATAGGTGAAGAAAATAACATGTCCAATTGACGATCACTCGAGAAGACCAAAATACGTTCACGGCGAACAACTGATTCGTCAATAAGTAAGAAGCGATTTCCACCGAGTGTTTCTTTGAATTGGTCAGGAATATCGAACAAACAGGTTTGTGGAAGTACAGGCACTACTTTTGCTCGAGACTTGCCCAAAGTTGGACCTAAAAAGACACAAAGGGATAGGATTATATATATGAGCATAAAAATCGTACCAATCTCTTGACATGTTGGCAGAATAGCTGTGGTTGTTGCATTGATTGATGAGTTTGAAATTTCTTGTTCATAGATCATAGAGAGTGGTATATTTTCTTGAACAGCACGTTCTTTTATTTTGTTTCGAACGATTCGTGCAGCTATTAAATCAGGATTTGGTTCATGGTCATGTACTTCAATGCCTCCTTTGACATAAACATCATTTGAATCTGTATGAATGGATTTTTTACAATCTTTGTGTGTACAATACCAATACTTCCTGTTTCCTTTTGCTTTATTACATTTGTACAAATAACCATTTAATGATAACATTAATTGTTCTTTATTTCATTTGACGAATGATAACTTGATATTCTCTTTTTCTATTTTTTCCGTTGGGCTTGCCATTAATAAATTCTTCTTCGAAGGTTATTTGTTAATAGTTGATTTATGTGAATGCATACATATATGTATACGAGCCGTTTCTTTGTTTTACACAAGTACCTTCCTTTACACTTACGACGCGTCTGCATATTTATCCAATAATATTAGTTATAAAAGATATATCGTTCCACTACCTACCATTAGCACCATCTCGCTCACGTGTTTTTGCATCACGACATATCAA